TTCCGGAACCCATACTGCTTGGGAGACAGCCCTCCCGCCTCCTCTATGGCAGCTCTCGAAGACCTTGCCCGTAGTGTCCAGCAGGCAGATTGGCCTATAGGACGACGCCTCCTCCCTTGGTTTCCCTGGTTTGAGGAGCAGCAGGAGCTTCTGTACCTTCCACCTGGTGGGAAAAGTGCCTTCGCGGATACATTTATTGTAGAGGTCCGCAAAGCTGCCCGGCTGAAGAGCTAGAGCCAGCTTCAGGGCTCGGTTAGAAACCGAGTCCGGGCCGTGTGCTTTGTTCGGGGCCAGGCCTCTCCCTATGGCCAGTACTTCCTCTTCCGTTACCTCCTTAGTCGCTTCATTGTCTGCTGGGAGGGTGGGAAGCTGGGTGACCTGGTTGCCGGCTGGGCACAGTGCTTGCACTATGGTCCTTAGCACGTTCGGGTCCGTGGGGGACTGGCTTCCTGTGCGCAGCCTCTTCACCACTATCCGGTACGCGTTGCCCCATGGATTTTCCTCCGCCGAGTCGCATAGCTCCAGGAAGCATTTCCTTTTGCTGTCTCGGATGGCCACCTTCAATACTTTGCGTCGGTCCTTGAAGGCTAGGTGCCGCTCCTCAAAGGCGTCGCTGCCTCTCGCGCGCTGCATGAGCCTCCTTGCTCACATGCACTCAGCTCGGATGGAGCCAATCTCGTCGCTCCACCAGTAAACGGGAGCATGGTTCCTACGGTATTGGCTTCTCCGCTGCATGCTCGCCATGCACGCTGCCTCCATCTTAGCAGCCAGGGTATCAGCCATTTCGTTGGCTCCGCTTGGTAAGACGTTGCCAATGTCGCGCGCTGTCTCGGTGAAGTTCCTCGCCTGGAGCGTACCGACTCTGTAGCCTCGTGGTTTCGGATCCCTTGGTCGTTCTTGAGGGTTACCAATTGAGCACAATATTGCTTCGTGGTCGCTGGCCGTAAAGCTGCCGCTTATCCTCCAGTTAGCGCCAGTCGCTAGCGAGGGGCTTGCGAACGTCAGGTCTATGATGGAACCTGCTCCGGCTCTGCTGAAGGTGTGCTGATTTCCTTCGTTCAGCAGGACGAGATCGAGTGAGGCAAAGGTTTCTCTGACCACTCTCCCTCTCTCATTCGTCCTCGGGCAGCCCCAGTCCTGCGCCCATGCGTTGAAGGACGTCAGAACGGCCTCTGATGTCATTTCCTAGGCAGTCCATCATGCATCAAACTCATTGGTGGTTAGGCTAGGTGCCATGTAGCAGCTGTAAAGCCATGCCCCACCTATCCGAGCCCTTACAAATCCCTCCGCACTGTGCACTGAGTGCATTGTCGCGCCGGTTGCGCCGCAGCTCCAGATGGCGGCCTTCCCCGATAGGTCAACTGCCCAGCCGTTGTCTGAGCCAGTCCTATGGGGCTCGCTTAGGAGCGCTATGTCCGCCTTCGTCTCCCTCGCAGTCTGCGACAGCACATCTTGGGCCACCCTACAGTGGTTCAGGTTCAGCTGAAGCACTAACATCCTGTCGTCCTAGGTCCACCTCCTTTCGCTGACATGGGGCAACTTCTGCTTCCAGTCTGATGCCTCACATCCTTCCGGCCCTTATCTTCACACGAGAAGCATCGAGGGCCCTTTTTGCAGGTGGCCGCCCTGTGGTCCGGGTCTCCGCAGCGGAAGCAACAGCCGCTCCTGTCCTTCGAGCTCTTGCAAGCGCTTGCGATGTGCCCCATCCCAAGGCACCTGTAGCAGCGAGCCACGACCTCCTTTTCCCTCATATGGCATACTGACCACCCAACCTTCACCTTGCCCACAGTAATGATGGCCTTGGCAAGGCTCGCGGGGAAAGCCACGATAGCGGTCTGCGTCTCGCCATAACTGCTTCTCACCTTCTTGACTTTCAAGGCGCCTTGGTCCACCGCTGCCTGCTGCGCGATAGCCCCGATGATGTCCTCTGAAGTAGCTAGTGCGTCGAGTCCTCGTGACTCCTTGGTCTCCTCCGAGTACGCCCGCACCTCTGCCTTGCTCCCTAGGACCTCCTCGATGCAACCTTTAAGGGCCTGGGTGGAGTTCTCCTTCTTCCTGGCCAATTCCAGTAGCAGCCCGCCCTTGGCTGTCTTCCTTACTTTCTTGACGCAAGGGCCAAGGTCGTCTAGCTTCCCGTCCTCCCTGCGAGTTACCATGCTTAGGATCTGACTGTACGTCATGCCTGCTGCTTGGATCACTATGGCGTCGGGTCTGGCTCGTCTCCTCTCGGGATTTCTAGGCTTGGCCTTCGTCCATTCAGACCTTCTCCTGATTGCTTCGCCGTCGCTTCCTTTGTCGGCAGCCGGGTTTGCAACAGCTGGCTTGGGCCTTGCCGCCGTGTTGGCCGTTGCTACTTTGGCCCCCCAGTCCGGGTCTGCTGCTCCTTCTCCACGGTATCGATGCCGGCTCTCTCGCATCTGGGGCACACTGGCTTGGGCATGATGGCCGGTCGCGCATGCTCCTCTGGAACACTTCCAACCAGAATGGAGTGGATGTCCTTCAGTCTGGTTATTAGGCTCCTTTGCATTGCGGAAATATGCCTCTTATTTTTTTCCGTGACCCACGATAGCAGCTCGTTCACTATCGTGCCCAGCTCCGTCAGGCATTCTTCGCTTCTTGCCGGTGGGCTGCCAGCCTTATTTTTCTTCGGGGGAGCCGCCCTCTGCCCTCTGTCTCCTTGTCCGGGCTAAGCATCTCCCGTGGCCTCTTTGGCGTTTCCTTCTCTACCGCTGATGGGCTGCCGGTGCCTGCTGAGCTGCCAGCCTGTGGCGCAAATAGCGGCGAGCGCCGCATTTTATTGCTCTTTTTGAACGGGTCACCCGTTTTGGCACTCTTTAGCTCTTCTGTCCTTGTAGTGTTCCTTTCCAGGGCGGCCAAGTAAGGGACCGCCTTGTCAGGTATAATTGGGATGTTGTTTAGGGCCTCCAGAATCCTTGCCCTAGCCGTGGTCTCTCCCACGGGTGGATTCCCACTTCTGTGGCTGCCACCTGGAGTAATTTCGTTATTCGACGACATTCCAAAATTGGGGGGGGTTGCGCATTTTATACCTACTGCCAGGTGTCTAAGCTGCCGGCCACTTTGGTACAGACGCAGACCTCGCAGCCGCCCAATGTGGGACAGACGCTGCGAGGGTTTTTCTCCGGCTCAGCTGAGCGCTAGCCTTCTTCGATAGGGGGGAGTTGGGGCGGATGGGGAAAGTCGATAGAGCATGGCTAATGCATGCTGCGGTTTGGGGGTTTCAGCACTGCCTTACATCGGTGCGCCTGGAATTTCCTCCTGGCGGGACCGATGGGAGTTATACCGCTCCTGCTCGGTCGCCAGAGCCCCTTTTGTGGGTGAACCGCCGTAGCGGATGGGTTGGCAGTTAGTCAGCTCCATGACCTTCGTCACCTCATGGCAGGCCAAAGTTTTCTAGCCCTTTCCGCTTTATGTTGGTCAAAGGACCTGAGGCAGCAGTCTGAAAGGAATGCTACCCTTTTCCTTTGCCTTGAGTCGCTGGCGCCCTCTAGCGGGCTCCTGTAGTCGGCAGCCCTGGTGCCCTTGATCCGGGTCTAGTGCCCTCTACCGGCAGACACTGTTACGGCGTTTCCCAACACTGCCCGCCAGCTGGTTACGATCAGCTGCCATGACCTGCGCAATTCTGGTGGGGGCAGCCACGTTTGCTACAACTCAGGAGAAAGGTGTCGCAAAAAGAGTTCCTAGAAGAGGAAGCTCTCTTCGCGCCTCTTACCTCGGCGGTTGGCGGCCATCCGAATCTTCACGGAGGCCATTATATTATGAGTGTGTACAACACCATGAGTGTGATGGTTCGCTCGGCAGATGAGTCCGTCCCCAGCTGTCCGGTCACCCATTACCCACTCCTTTTCCAGATTCAAGCGGAGGGTGTGGTGTCGGCTGTGACATGTGAAGCAGGTATGGGCACTCGTGCAGTTTCGTTGCTGGGCAAAACAATTTACGTCCATTTCTAGGAACCCCGGACATAAGCGAATGGGGTAGTTCTCCCTCGAACAGAGATCGCAACCCTTTTGGCCCCGAAGCACTCGAGTCTCGTATGAATAGAGCCTCCGAGCAGGGGCAGTATGAATTCCCGACCTTGGCGGAAGTTGACCGGGGCCACTAGGCCTGACGTCGTCGATGGCCTCCAGAGTCCGATGGCACTCTGTCAGGAAGTTGTCTAACTCCTTCCATGTTGGAATTTTGGCCTTATTATGGACGGATTGCTTCCACATAGAAAGTGTGACTTTGGGGAGCTTTGACGAAATCATAAATACCAGGAGGCAGTCTCAATCCTCAACATTGATGGCGGAACAACCTCTCTACCGGGGTGAGCCGCGAGTTTTGGATGGAAATGGCCGTAAACAAGTCTCTGAAGGTGGGCCACCGAAGATAATCACCCGCGAAGACCTCGGTATCCACCGGAGGTAACCGGCAGCCTGTAGGCGTGGACGTGTGTACATTGACGGAAGTCTGAGTGGATTTGGAAGCCATTTTCTCCCGAAGCTGTGCAATACATGTCGAATAGACGAAAAAACAGTAGCTGTACTTCGATTCCAGCACTGTCGAGGTGGCCGCATTGTCGTCTGACACACCTAGTAAATCGGAGCAGCTCTCATAGCTTTTCTCCACCTTCTCCCACAGTGCCCAAATTTGGTCCCAAAGGACTTCGCACATGTATTGGAAGCCTACTTCCGTTCCTGTGGCGCCCGGAGTATTTATGTTAGCCTCAAATTGGCTAATTCAATCTGTTGTGGCGATGAACTTTTTCAGCGCCACGTCGACCGCACTTTGAGCCATTTTTGCAACGGAACGAGTCTGCCTCCGTGAAGGACCGGGGATTTTTTTTTTTTTTTTTTGGATTGCGCCATTGAGGTGAAAATCTATCCTAGATACTATTGGCCCGTACCAATAGCATGCACGATTCACCGGCATGTCTAGCCGGCGCCTACGTACTAAAGACACCCCCGCACACACCACAGACCCCGCGGTACCACTGCTAAGTATTACTTCGCGGGGAAGGGTTGCCTAATATAGGCATTCTCCTTTAAGCGACGTTCATTTTCGAGTCTTCTTAAGTCGCCCTGTGTATAAGCTATCAACTGGCTTACCCAGTCCCATTGCTCCTGTGAGCTACACATGAATTCCACAAGCTGCTTTGGATCTGGTAGCGATCCGACGATGGCATGATATCTCCTACAATTGTATAAGATGTGCTCTGGGTCCTCGTCTGCTCCTGGGCAGTTGGGGCACACTGGACTTTCGTCGTGTCCGAATCTATAGAGGTATTTTCTGTACCCCCCGTGACCTGTAAGAAACTGGGTAAGCTGGTAACTAACCTGACCGTTATTCCGATCCACTCCTGGATATTTGGTATTAGCCTGTGCGTCCATCTACCTTTGGTCGTTGCGTCCCACCTCTCCTGCCATGAGGATAATGCCGCTTGTCGGGCTGACCTCTTAATGGCCTCTCGGGATGAATTCCTTCCCCGTTGCCGATTGGATGCGTAGATTTGCGTAGATCCGCTCCATTAGCCAGAATATCAATTGGAATCATTCCGGCTAGAACGAGGGTGGCTTCCTCGGATATGGTTCTAAAGCCGGATATGACCCGTAGGGCCGCTAGTCGGTACGATGCCCCTAGCTTTTTTTTAAGCCCCTGATGTCTTCTGACTGACGCAGCCCATATAGGCGCTGCGTACAGCAAAACCGACGTGACGACACTGGCTAAAAGGCGTCTCCTGCTTTCCTTTGGGCCTCCCACGTTTGGCAGCATCCTTGAGAGTGCGCCGTGGATCCTTGCAGCTTTTATGGTGGAGTACTCCACGTGCGCTCCGTAGGACATCCTGTTGTCCAGCATTACCCCTAGGTATTTAATTGCCTCCTTTGAGGTGATGCAGCAGTTGCCCACCTGGACCGTAATGTACTCCACCTTCTTCCTGCTCGTGAAGAGAACTGCCTCCGTTTTATGTGCTGCTAGGTCCAGTCCAGAGTCAGACATCCAGGTTGATATCCTTCGTATTGCTTCACTCGCATTGGTTACCACGTCCTTGATTTCCTTCGCCACCACGAGCAGCGCCTGGTCGTCCGCGAAGCCGATGAGTTTGCAACCTGTCGGTAGTTCGATCCTGAGTACTTCGTCCTACATGATGTTCCAAAGAAGTGGCCCGAGGACCGATCCCTGCGGCACCCCTGCAGTCACCTCATAGGATTTTGATCCTTCGTCCGTGTCGTACAGCAGTGTCCTATCTGAAAAGTAGCTGGATAATATTAGTTGTAGGTATCTAGGAGTTCCTGCCAAGAACAAGGCTTGTTGGATACGTGTCCAATTAGCCGAGTTGAAGGCGTAATATAATTTTACCATCGGGCAATACTCCTTATCTCCCCATTTCCACCGGGTTCCTGCGATGGCTGCTTCCGCCGTGTCGGTCATGGCTTTGATCCGGGGAAAGACCGGGGATTGTATTGACGGATTCGTCACTCCTTGCCCTTGGAATGGCATTGTAAGCCTTAGGCTTTAAAAGAGGCGTCCGCGGAGATGCGGATTAAGATCTGTCCAAACGGATGGTTAGGATGGCTTTTGGTCGTCTTCCGTGGGCATTCTCAGAATCCAATTCGCTGGTCAGCGCTTGCCAACTGACTTGCGCAATAGGTGCCTCGTACGAAGCGGTGGCCTATCACACTAATGTGTGATATCGCGGATGAAATGCGATTACAAGGAGCAAGTGGGAACTAGTTGCGCCGATGTCGAAAGGAAAGTCGTGTGCTTCACAATTCGAATGTGGAAAGAAAGCTTCAGGAACCAAAAAAAACCCAAAGAGACGAGACGAGGTTTGTTGAGATTGTAGGCGGATGTTGCCTGATGCGGAGTAGAAGCAGCGTTAGAGGGACGGAAAATTGACAAATACCGGAAAATTCGTACTCGTTCGGAAAAAAACTGATGACTGTCTGTATATGTATATTTCGACCAGTATGGCTCGTACGTAAATATTGAATTCTTAACTATTTTCGAATTTTCGGAGCCGGAAAGGTGGACTTGACCTTGGCTTGGATTTAACACAACAAAAATATAAAAAACTAATTTTTGGCTAATTGCGGATTTAATTATTATGGAGCCAGAAAGGTGGAGTTGAAAATCTTAATTATTAATCAATTGAGGTTAATTATCACGAAGCTGGAACGGTGGAATTGAAACCGCGGCTCTCTTCAGACAGAAGTTTGACAATTAAATTATTAATAATTTTTGACTCTAAGTATTGAGTGGCCGGGAAGGTGAATAAAAAAACTTACCCTTCGCTCGAACGAAGAATAATAATTAAATAAATTTTGGCGGATATAATTATAAATATATAAATTTATATTTAATTGATTTCTTTATTTTTGAAGTAAGTCGTTACGCAGCCGGTTATGCCGTCGGCACCTTGTACGTACCCCAAAGGAAAAAAAAAACCAGCACCAAAAAAACACAACACGGCTTCTAAGGCGGCCAGTTCGAGAATTGACGCGACACAATCACGGATTTGTAGTGAAATGGCGGTATATAATTGTTGGGTTTAGGAAATTAAAAATTTATATATTTTTTTTAATTTTATCGGTAATATATTTCCTGAAATGGGAGGCAGAAAATATTTGGAAATATATGGACATGCATGCAGATACTTACATATATCCGTACTTATCATATATTTCCAAATATTTTCTGCCTGTGGGCATGTGGGCATATGTTGGCACAGTGGAGCGTCGATAATATGTAACTGGGGGAACGGAAAAGTTATGTGGTGTAAAAAATTAGGGAAGAACAACAAATATTACGACAGCGGCGGACTGTTCGGTGAATTTGGAAATTACCGGAACCACTTCACACCGGCTGGCCAATATTAATTATGCCCTTTTTTTCACCACATACTTTCACTGTTCACTTGCGGATTTATTGCACCAAAAACAATGTATGTGTGTATGCATGCACATATGCGCCGTTGGCGAGCGAATGGATAACGGAGAGGCCAAAAACGGCGAGGAATATGGCAAGGCACGCAAAACGGAGATGGATGGAGGAATTTGTAGGGTTTTGGAGTTAACACGGTAGGAAAAAAAAAACAAATCTTGCAGCAGTGTGAACGAAATTTAATGTTCGGACCACTGCTGAAGACCGGCAGAGAGACGGAGACGGAAAAATTTCGTACTTATCTTTTGGCGGAACAATGCCTGGAGTGCTGGTAGAAAATATCCAAAAGGTATCCGGCTCGAAGGACCAAAATGTTGTAGGGGGGCCTTGCTGCCGCAAGAGATTCCAGGAGTAGATTAAATGAGAAGTCGGGGGCGTCTTCAGTAAATTCAAAAAAAAGCGCGTTCAGCTTTATTTGGCTGCTTGCAGAGGATTAACTAAAAGGGAGGTTCTTTTGGATTTTTTTGAAAAAATCGATTTTTTTTTTTTAATAAAATGATAAATAAATAAATTTTTAATAAATGACAAATGTGTAGAATATACGTGCCAAGAGATATTTCGATACGACGTGTATTTCTTGAGCTAGAGCGTTTCGAACATACCCATGATAACAAGAAAGCTATCTAAAGGCAAAGCTTCTAAAAACTTTAAACTCGTTTTTCTCGGAACCATGTTTTCAAACCTCTTGTCGCGCACTGGGCTCGTTCTATTGATCCGATTTCCTTCATTCAAAAAATGTTTAAAAGTACATACTTTTTTGTATGCCCTCTACCTAAAATTGGCATAAAAAATTGTTTATTTTTAATTTTTAAATGAGATCAAAGTAAAAAAAAAAGAGAAAAAATGTCACTTTTTTTTAAACGTCCATGAAATTGGTTTAGTTTTACCAAAATTAATTGTCGTTAGGTATAAGGCATAGGAAATTCCATCAATTTTAATAAAGTATATACATTTCTAATTTAAGTTTACTACCAGCGGCCCGACATTCGACAAAGCAGAAATATAGAGGTCGACGAGATCCGCCATTTTGAAGCCGCCATTTTGAACTTCCTGAATATTGAATATTTTTTTTAATCGTTAATAAACAACGAATCAAAAGTTCAAAAGCATAAGTTCGTATGTCTTTTCATTTTCCGGCAATCCATTCTCATAGTTTGCTTTATTTTCGAAAAAATCCAAAAGAACCTCCCCTTAACTAGTACAAAAAAAATGACGATCGACGACAACCAACGAGCGAGAGAGAGTGCACAGAGGGGCGAGGGCGGATGCGCTCTTCAGCGCGGATGCGCTCTTATCCACAGCTGAGCGGCACCACGGCCCCTCACCTAAACAATCACAATAAAATATCTAAAAAAAAGTCCCAAGCTTCTATCTTCAAAAATACCAAAGATGGTATTTCTACCACCATTCTATAACCATTTCTAAGATAAAATAGCTTTTGTGTAAAATTTTAACTCTCTAACTCTAAAAACACCAAAGTTATACCATTTCCGATCAATCTGTTATATGGCAGCTATAGGATAAAGTCGGCCGATCCCTATGAAATTCGGTAGGTCAAATTATCTGACCAAAAAGAGAATCTGTATCAAGTTCCAGCTTTCGATCTTCAAAAACACAAAAGTTGGGTTATTTCCGATCGTTCAGTTATATGGCAGCTATAGGATATAGTCGGCTGATCCTTATGAAATATTTTATTTCACCGACGAACAACAAGTTTAACTTACATACAAAGCCATACATTTATTTTTACGCATACATGTAAAGAGCTCTAAAAATAGAATCTTATGCATGTGTGTTCCCCCCTCACCAACAAGCTCGACGCAAAAAGTTTACCGTTTTGGGCCCTGATGTCCCATCTCTGTACTTTATAATCTTTTATTTTTAATAAACCTAATAATGAATAAGGTAATGTATAAAGATTTAGCGGACAAAATTATTTCAATGAAAATAATCTCAATGTCACCAAATTGTGTTAGTCACTAATTGGTAAGTGTTAGTAACGATATTAGTGTTTTGAACTTGTTGACGAAAAAGAGGTGAAAGGCAGGCCCGATGAGAGGGGGGGTCAGCCGGGTTATTGTCCCGGGGCCCGCAATAGACAGGGGCCCGGCAGAGGGGTCAAATTTTTTTTCGAGAATTTAGATGGCCAAAATTAAGAAAGACAAATATGAATGTTTAATTCGAATGAATAAATATTGAAGACTCTAGTCGTCAGTTAGTCGTTTATATAGAAAATCTACCAAAGGAGATATTCAACCAAAGCTCAACCAAAATGTACCAAATTCGTTCTAATATGTAAATAAATGGGCTATAAATATCGGAACCACCCAGGTGATTTTATTAGTAACCGTCTCAAAATGTCATTTTTATCTTTATCATCCAACTAGCGTGTAATGTGCAACGCTTCAGTGTAATTTAAATGAGAGACGAAAACGATTCCGTGAGGAATCCATGCCCCGGGGCCCGACATGGCTCTCGACGGCCCTGGTGGAAGGTTTGACAGTAGTTCCAATATGTGGAAATTTTACACCCACTGGTTTTCTAACCAACCTTGAAAGAAGGCGTCCGCCGTGATGTAATCCGAGAAATCAATCTTAAAGTATTAGGGGCAAGCCGAGAAAATAATATATGTTTCGATGAAGGAATCACCTGTAAGGGTTTTGGTCGCAAGTACGAAAACTGCAGCATCAGTCGGTATCGGTGGTCCGGACTGTAGAATACCCTTTTGGGTCACTCCAAAGGGTGTTACATTCACTAGGACCTGTTGTTCCACTTGAAGGGATGCCACGGAGGACATGTTGTGTCATCAATTGCTCATTTGCACTGAGGAGAATTGTTCTCAGTTCTAGCCCTTGAGGTGGCCAGAGATTTGAGCGGCTGCGTTAATGTTGGCTGAGCAGAGCGCTCTGAGCTGGTCATTGATTGGATGGCTAGCAATGAGGATGAGGAGATTTTCCTATTACAAGACTTCATTGAGAAGACCAGTTTAAATTCCATTTTTATATTAAAATATACAAATTTTCAAAAAACAATGTACATTGAACCACTGTGCCAAATAGAGCAAAAGCACGAGCTTTGAAGAGAGTGAGAGTTAGAGCGAAGAACCTCTTTTCCACAAGAAGCTATACTCGGAATTGAAATTAAACAAATTATTAATTCGCCTCCAAACATACCGCAGTACACGCAAAGCGATACGGCTTAAGTTATAAATGAAGTTTCTAGAAATTCAATTCCCAAGTAGGTAAGCACCGGCTTATAGGAAGATTCATCATAAACGCAGTGCGTACAAAAAAACACGACCGTTCGCTTAAAATTAAGTGAAAGAATTCGAATTGCTTCTTTAGCACCAAAGAAGCCATCACCATAAAAAACTTTCAATTCTTGATGCATGAAACTTTTCGAAGCCATCAAAAAGTATTTTAAATGTATTACTGAAATGACGCAACGCGAATTTTATTTTGTACGCCTAAAAAGGCCAAAGCCACCGG